ATGTCTGTTTTCTAGCTTGGAATACAGAGTACAGCGAGGGTTGAATTTGTGTACATTGCATGTCTGTCTTTCCAAGAGAGTTTTTACAGTAGCAATAACTGTCAAATCAAATAGAGGTAAAAGGAATTTTCTAAGGAAGCAGCATTATTTGGACAATTCAAATTTGTCAAAATCCAAACTTATCGCAGAACTGTGTCAGTGTAAAAGGAAACAACTCCTGATGGAGAAGCTTCTTGTCTCAGCTTACCTCTTCTGTAGAGTCAATGAGAAAGGACAAACTGTCAGGTCATCTAAGTAACATCTGATAACCTAGTGGTCTTTGGATGGGGCCTTCCAATTGGGAGTTCAAATTGAATGTATAATGAGGTTAGATCTTGATGTTCTTCTATTTTATGGAAGTTTAGCCACTGTTCCCTCTTTCAAGGAAAGTGTGTTGCAAACTCACCAGTTCAACTCATTCAGCTATGATAAATGTAGAAGTTATTGGGGAATAGGAAGACCAAGATAATAACTCTGGAAAAAAATCGATGCGGAAATCTGAAATTTAGTTTCCTGGGTTTTTTTCCCCATGAGAGCCCCAAATGAAGAGCTAGTGGCTCTGTTTGCCTCTCATATTACTAGGATATAGTGTTGAATTCTGAGCAAAGGATGATGGGATCAAACAAGTTTGTTTTCTTTTATTGAGGAGGTTAAAGTCATTTTATGGAGAAAAAAAGGCTTTATAATTTTTGGCACTTGAAGTGTTTTTAAATTAGTTGTTGAGGAACATCAGTTTTCTGAAAAGAAAAAAAAATTCCCAAGTGAAAGGCATGAAATTCAGTTCATGAGGACACAGTGCTTCTTCAGCTATACATTACAGTATTATGAAGTATTCGCTTTTTTTTCAACCTTGGAAGGCACCCGTGCTCACTAGTACAGCCAAAGGTAGTACAAGTCAAGCCATGTTTAGTCACTGCTCTGGTTCTGTGTTCTGTCAGTGACAAGACAGAGCTTTGTTACTGAACCTCTCCTGAAAAAGTAAACCACTTTCCTCATTCTTGATAGTATTGATTTCTTTATTTTAAAAGCCGCTTAAAATAAAGCAGTCTCCTGCTGATAAGAGTATTTTGAGGTAGCCTGGTTCTAGTTTCTCAAACTAAACACTTGCTTCTCCAATTAACTATTTGTAAGCAGTGTGGAACAGGCAGTTAGCCTTCTTTCATTTCAGAGGCTGTATACTTAGTATACTACAATGATTAAACTTCCCGAATGAAAAGAAGAATTGCTTTCAAGCACGTGAAGCAGTCTAAATAACAAGCAGTTTTATACAAACATGGAACAAGCTCTTTGGATCTCTTAGCCTGGAAAACACCTCTGAGACATGCAGTCCCTGCTTATCTCAAGTAGCCTAAAATACAATTCCTCTATGAGTTTGTTGAGTTCCATCCTAAATGCAATTATACTTTTTATTCTCCCCACTCCTCAGCCTCTTTCCATCAAAAGACTGTCATCCAGACTGGTTTGATGAGTAGGAACCTTCTTATGACTACCACTCTGTGTTTACTTCTGGCCCATTTATATCTGCCTATGACCATGCCAACCCTTCTGTCCTCCACTTTTCAGGAAAACTTTGAAAGTTTGGGGTTCTAGTGAAAAATTTTGCAACTATACTCTTTTAAAATAAATGCCCTACAAACTAGAGCCTGATTGCATCACAGCTCAACACAGGAGCCATCAGACAAGTTACTATCAATGCACTCTCATGTAAGAAAGCTAATGTACTTTGTCTATTGATGTGCTGAGATGAAGATCAGAGGCGACTTCCAATGTCAGTGTGCTGCTGTACTGCCTCACCTTTCCCATTTGAGTGTGCTTTTGCTTTTTTCCCTTGAGAATTGTCAAAATTCTGGTCAGATTTTTTTCTCACTTTATTCTCACATTGCTAATTCATGCTATTGCAGCCATTTGGGGCAAAGGTGTATACACGTATTGCTATTTCAACTTCATCTCTTGTACCTCTTTTAAGCATTTCTCAAAATGGCTGTATTTGTTCTTTGAACTGGAAGCAGATAAACAGTTGATTAGGAACTGAAGCAACGTTGAACACAAGGTTATATTACCTATATATCTCCAGGAACAATGTAGCATACATTTAAGGTTGTATATTATGTTCCTACAGTGGGGAATATACTAATTTGTAATTCAGTCTGTGGCCCAGGGAACAAACCCAGTCTCTCTGTGAAAAATGTGTGGTCTCTTTTCTGAAGATTCCAGGTCCACTAGAATGACTTCTGGTATTCTCTGCAGGACTAGCTCATGGCACTAGTTTTGGGTTCACCAGCCTCTTTCTACATGCATTTGCTAGAGGCCCTTTCTTTGAGTAGCTTGCAGTGCTAGTTTCCATCTTTAAAGATCCGTTGGAAAATGTATGTTCAGCTTGAGCAATGAAGGAATGTATTTAATATTTAATCTATTATGTACTTGAAGTGTAACACTGTGGTACCAGAGAATGGGAAGTTGTTACAAAAGCCATTCTTTGTGCATACTGAGAACTGCCTGAGAAGAGAGTGAGTTAAAACTACAGACCTGACTCTCTGTGATTCAAAATGCTAGCATCTATAAGTGGTAAAATGTATATTGATTAGGTACCATCAGATCCTGCAGGCAGTTTGCCTCGCCCATGTACAAATGCTCTGCAGTTTTAAGAACCAGCGGAAAGTGCTGTGTAAGGATGTGTGGAAATGAGAACTCTTCTTGACATCATGTTTAGTACACTGGACTCAGGCAGCTTTAAGTGTCTGCCCAGAAACGAGTCTGAATAAATAAAGCTGGGATCATTCATTACAAGGATATGTATATATATAATTTTTTCCTTCAAAAGAGATGTTTTAAACATTAAATAGTGGATTCTGAGCAAGATGAAGTAGAAATTCCAGATGTATTCAAAGCTTGATCACGGTAAGTGTATTTACAATGATATTTAGTAAAAATTGCCTCTGAAATGAAAATATGTAAGGCAAAAAAGTTGAGTGTGGAAATCTAGGTTCATGGATGTTTGTATTACAATTGTTAATGATAAAAGCAAATCTTTTTCTTTTACTTTTTAAAAATTTTGATTATTTTGTTTCTTTTGCTTCAGCATCATAGACTTGTCTGCATATATCTTTCTTCAAACTGTTCTAATAATCATGCATATTTATGGCATTATCAGATTTGGGAAAGGAGAAATGAGATGGGTTATTGTATTAACTGACAAGGAGCTAAAGACAAAACATAAAGAGGATTAGATTTTGCACCATAGTTTGAGTGAGTAGGAATTACGACATTCAAATGATTCGTCTCTTTTGAAGGGCATGAAAGTAGAGACAGGGTTAATCTTTTCCCTTTTTAAGTGTAATTTATGGACTATCAGCATGAAGTCCAGAGCTTCAGACTACCTTTCTGTCATGAGGGTTCTTCATATTTCAAATTATGTTTGTAAGCTTGCAAGTAATCTGAAAGCAGTTGTTAAATACCTTGTTCATTTGTTGAAAATAGACACACTTTCATTTTAGTGCAAGTCCCTTCAAGGCATTTTTGCAAGTCTCCATTTACATCTATAAATAGGAGTCTATTCCATCGTCCTTCTCTGTGTTGAATAGTGAATGAAAAAAAATCCACTCCAAATACAATACAAACACAAAATACTATCTTTTATACTCACAAGGTTCCATGCTGGGTTAGGAGTCGGTTCTGGGGTTGTGTGATGTCTTAATTTATAACTGCTCATAGTTTATATGCCATAAATTCTATCAGTAAGAACATGGGTATTTCATATTTTATTACCTTCATAATGTATCCCATATGTACAATAATTCTGAGATATCTATTTAAATAGATCTTAATTCATGTAGACTAATCATACTACAAAGATGTGTTGTAAAATAATTGTACCACAACTTTCAAGAATTGACATGGTGAAATGTCATGTCCAGGAACTGTTTAACTGTTTGTGTTCCTCACTCATGTTATGTCAATATACTTTACAGTCTGCTGGTTTTTGTTTTATTGCCCTATAACCTGACATTTAATCCAATTGAAAGTCAGCTGTGTTTAACCAGTTAACTCTCTGCAGAGCATATTCTTCCCCATGTTCCCTGCACTGTGTAAGGTAGTAGAGTGGACAAGAAAAAAATTGTCCCGGTTTGCCTCAATGACTTTTTGGAATCTTATTTTCCTCTGTGTTTTTGAGATTTACATGGTGCAGAAACATGCAAAATAGCAAAATCGAACACCTCTTTTTTTCTTTACACAGTATGTACAGGTATGACTCTCCCTCCTTTTTTTTTTACTCGAACAGCACTGGAAATTGGGCAGAAACCCAGAAATACACATCCTCTAAAAACTGGAATTAAACAAAGGGAAAGAACTAACTTACTCAAAGAACTGCATTAATCAAGCCTGCTTGAATGCAGTAGCATGGTAATGGGAAAAGAAATGTTTTTTCAAGGAATATAGAGTTCACAGCTATGTAAAGAACCTGATGTTATTTTGTATTAAGCTTTTTATCCATTTAGTTTCTGCTTAATCTAAGGTCTATGTATGTGTCTGGATATTTGCCATATTTTTCATGCTGGGAAGATCTAATGAACTTCCTTTGACTCTGACCAAGGCACCCTCTGTAAACTGAATATTTTTACTTTATAACCAACACTTCTCTGTTTTAAGTAAGTTGCTCTCAATAGAACATTATCACTCTTATCACAACTTATTTTTAGGGAAGTAGAAACTTAGTCACATAGAATAGTGATTATTCAAAAAAAAAAAGGTGTTATTTTGTTTGCCCTAGTTTTCATCAGACAGTCTGTATGGCTCCTACTTTTAATTGTAGAATCAAATTCAGAGCTATTGAGTCTTAAGGATATAATCTGCCTTGATATAGGGATGGATATCATGTTACTTGTGTTCAGAACAAAAGACTAAATATTATGAACTTGTCTTTCTATATGAACTTCTCAATGTTATTTTTTTTATTATCATAGCAAGACCAGCTTTATACTTGGGCTGCAGTTAGCCAACCCACACATTCATCGGATTACATTGAAGGAAGCTTTCCAAGGAGAATTCCATCTGCGTGGCCCCCACCCAAACCTCCAGATGAAGAACAAAGACCCAAAACTTCGGAAGAAGGTATAGTTATTGGACACAGGCAAGATAAAAGTATAGCACAAGGGGAGCTGCTGTCTTTTAGAATCCAAGATATAAACATAGTATCTTAACTTTTTGCAAATACCTGCTTTTCAAGATCTTGGACTATCATCAGAAATAGTGTTAGCCAATGTGAATCTAATAAAAAATATTCAGCAAAGATTATTGGTTAACAGCCAAGATGGGTAACTGCCATTGACTGACTAATAGATTTTACCAGGTATTATCGCTTTTGTTCTTTTCCAGTGTACATACCTTCAGAGCCATGAAGTATGGGTTCTTTTCTCTTCTTAAAAATACGGAAACCTTGAGGAGCCCACTGGTGGTATAATGAAAGTTATTAGAGTGGTGAAAGATGCTCCTTTGTAGATGCAGTCTGATGCTTACAGAGGGGTAGGGAAAAGTGTAGTGTATCTGAAAAAATAAATTGAGGTCTTGGTTTACAAAGTCAGTTTATCTTAAAATTTGAGAGGTTCTGCTTCCAGCCAATTTTCTGAAATTTTCTTCATACTCATTAAGAGCTTCATTTAAACTCAGAATTAAAATAAAATCAACAAAAAATAAAATCTTAGTGCTGACAAAGAAATTTAGAAGAGAAATTCAAACCTGTTTTCTGTTAGGAGTGTTGATGCATAAATACCACAGGTTCTTGGAGGTTTTGTTTACCATTAGTTCGACAGCTCACAACACTTTTAGACTACATTCATTCCCATGCCCTCTATGAAGAGTCACTGGGTATTCTCAAATTTTGCATTTCCTACCTCTTTTTTTTTCTTTCCTTAGATTAGAAGAATTAAGTCATTATTTTAACAGATCTCGTTATAGGAAGTAGGCTTATGGTGGGCTTAATTTCAGATTTGCCTCTCTTTGGGTATTCTCTACCACTTCCTCTGGAACATGAGCAGTGTGTTCCTTGCAAGGACACCATTTATCATGACATCACTTCACTTATACTGCTATAACTTATTTCAGTGTTCACAAGTAATGCCAACAAAAACCTCAGTACTTCTACGTTATTCTATTTATGCTGTGACTTCTACCAAAGCAGTTCTACTGGAGGTTAAGGAAACATTTCTGCTTCCATCTCCATGTTGCAATTCAGTGTGGAAGGTGGCAGTACTGGATTGTTGAGCTAGTCCAGTTTTTAACTAATGATCTACGGGTTTTGTGTTGTATTCAATGAAAATGCTGCCATATGTTGTAGTAGAATTCAATGCCATGTACTCTGAGTTGTGTTTCTCCACTTGGCAACTTAGCTAACAGATGTGTGATCAGAGTGTTTGTGAACATACTCAGCAGTGGAAAAACAAAAGGGTGAATCTTTTGTCATTTTGTTTTGAAGTTTTAGCCCAGCAGAGGCTGGTGCAAGTTAACAACAGTTTTGTGCTCTAAAATCTAGAAGAACATTGATTACATAAAATATTTTGAAATGTAAAGATGCACTTGGAAGTGTATTCATACCAAAAATATAATATTAATAGTTTTTAAATGTATCCATTTTATACATGGTTTGTTTCCATCCTGTGTTATTGAATATTATACCTATTACATGCATGTAATGTTGACAGGACTTACCTGTTCCTTATGAGCCACTGACCACTCAAAAATGCAAAAAAGAAAATTAAGAAAATAGAATTGAAAACAAAGTAGAAAAATGAGTATAAGGAGTAATTCTAAATGGAACAGAAATACTTCTTAAAATTTTTTTATTAAAATTTTGGCATGATTTTGCAGTGTAGGCATGGGGGGAAAAGGAAAAATTCATTTTTTTCTGAATACAACTCAGGTAGATAAATAATTTAACTTTTTTTTTCTTTTGATTATTCACATGCTTGTCATGTGGAAGAACCTGGAGGTGAGTGGTATTTCATGTGAAACCTGAGGATGAACACCTTCCCCAAGATTTGTGACAAAATTATTTTTTGTATATGTACCTTTGAAACATTCTTTTTAAAGGCTGAAATTGTGTGCAGAGTAGCTGTATTTTGGATGATGTATAATTATTGCTGTCTGGATTAGACAGATATAATATTAGCATTAGGACCTGGTTCATAAACAAAAACATGCATTTTACACAAAATTATTTATTGAGAGAGGAATATAGAAGGATCTTTTTATAGAGAGAGTATTTTTATTTTACATGTTAGCATGTGGACAATAGCAGGCCTACACATTTGAAAAAAGGCAAAATTAAAGTTTGAAAGGTCTTAAGTAATCTTTCCTAAATTAGCCAAGTAGTTAATCATCTGTTTAGTATAGCATGTACTAAGTAGTTTTGCTGTGTGCTCTGTGTCATGTGGAGCATTGTTGGGTGTGAGGAAAGGGCTATTAGAGTGGTATGGAGGGTTTTTCGGGAGGGGGGTTATCAGGTTGATTGCTGGGGTTTTGTTTTGCCTTTTTTTTTATTTAGGTTGTTCTACTTGGGGTGTGGTTTTTTTTGGGTGGGGTTTTTTTTCAGTTGGTTATTTATTAAAAAACTTTAGTTTGGAAATACCTTATATGAATTTGGGTTCAAGTGAGCAGAATCTTCTGTCAAAATCATTTTCCAGTTCTGGATTTGGAACAAAATGAGGACATGTTTTGGAAAAAATGAGTCAACATCACCAATAAGATAAAGGTGTATTCCACTGATTTTCTATCTGAATACCCAAAATCTGTTCCTGTGACTTATGGTATTTGAGTCAAATTGTTAAATATTGAGAAATAGATAGGAGCAGTCTGTTCCTGTTTTTTAAAGAAATCTTGAGTAAGAGAGGGAGTTTGAGCTAATTTGCATAATAGAAAACAGTAAGTGGTATGTACATGTCTTGTCTAGTACTAGAAAATTAGCAAACCTCTTCTGAGCAAAGGTCAAATCAATCTTAAAATTTCTCTCAAACATAGAAATCTAAGATATAAATGATTAGTTGTTTCCTGTTAATGGCAGCCTATCCAGCTACAAATAGTTATGCATTGTTATTATTATGCCTTGCAGCATAACTGACACTGGCAATGAAATTTCTCCCTTGTAGTTCTCACTTCCCAACAGCTGGGACTGTCAGAAAGCTGTTAGGAGGCCAAATGTCTAAATATTACAAATCCTGGTGTTCTGGATCACAGTTCCTTCATCTTTCTGCAAATGCTCAAGAGATTTCCCTGTTGAATAGTGTAATCCTTAAAAGACAGAAGAAGGATATGATGCATATAGGTGGAAGTAAAATATGTCTATTCTTACTGTATACAAAATTAGGCTATGATCAGTAAAGAAGCATCATTAGTAGTAGCTCCTAATCTGGTTAGAGATCTTTCTACTGTGTAGCTCCTGTGGAGTTCAGTTGGTTTGTTCCAAGTTTTTTTCCTCATTATTTCGTATCAGGTAAGGATACTGAGGCACAGTGAGGTTCTTTAAGGTCAGAGAAGTAACCTGCTTTCAAAATAAGAACGTAAAACTATATTTGGCATGTCTTAAGTTTTGCTGCACTTTTTGAGATCTGCATCACTATCTCTGTCTTTGTAGAGATTTCAAATTTGAATGGTAGGACAGAAGAGGTCCAGTGGAGGATATGAAAAAGAGCACAGCTGACAACAGTCATGAGTCTTAATGATAGAAATACTTCTTAATGAGATTAGATGGGGAGAAAAATCATGAGTATCTTCCCTTGACCTTCTGTGGAAAGTGTGTATTAGAGCCATCAGTAACTATTTTTCTTTGAATCAGAAATTTTCATCAACCAATACGGAGTTCTTTCAGGTTCAAGATGATAATATGATACATACATTGCAAATTGAGATCAGGCAGAGTTTATTTATACATGTAACCTATTTGGTTAATTTTAGAGATAATTTGGAAAGTGGGACAGTTAACATTGTTTTCTTTTTAACTCTGCCCTCCTTACATTAATTTCTTAATGTGTATTTTGAAATATCAATGAGGTTTTTAATATATAGAATTTTTAAAATCTGTATTTCCTTTTCAAATTCAGAGTTGAAATCTACGGTCCTAGAAACAGAGAAGCAGTGCATAGATGATGATCAGCAGGTACAGGTAAGATTTTAACAGAAGTGTTCTATCTATCATTTTGTAAAGAGTGGAGAAGCAGTACTTCTTTCAGACATTTTTGCAATAGTTTTGTGTTCTGAATGTTCTGAATGAAAACATTCAGAAGTGAGGTTTTTTTATATGCTTCATAGCATATCTAGCTACAGGGACTGAAGGTAAATGTTATTGTTCACTCAGAAGTAAGTTAACACGATCTGTGATGGCACTACTAAGGAATGGTAACAGAAAATCTGATTATATAAGTAATCTACAAAATTTCATGTGAGTAATAATGGCAGAGATTTTTTTCCTGACTCTGTCCTGAAGCTTATAGCAGTGATAGTAATGAAGAGGCTTAGGGTGCCATGCTGGATGTAAAAAGGAGGCAATGTAATGCTGGGACAGAGGAGATAGTCTGGATTGGATTTGTGCAACATAAACACAGTCTATTTTGGTTTTTTTCAACATGTCACCATAAATGCTCTATTCTTCATTAAAGGTGGTGCAACTTGATAGGGTTGAGGAACTTCAATTTTTTTTGCTCAAAAGACTAACTACCAGAGCTATCTTACTAGTGAATAAGATTATTCAACTGTTATGGAAGTAATTAGAAGGAAGGCAAATTCTGGTTCCCTGAAATCTTTTTTTGAAACAAAATGTGACCAAAAGCTCATGAAATCTCTTTTTTTTCTCTCGCTTTCCTACCTTTTTCCTCCCCATCAGGTTGTATTTTTGTGGTGTGTGTTTTTATTTCATTTGGTTTGGGTTTTTTGGTGTTTTTTTTTTGTTAGAGACTAAATGGTTCAAGCATCACTGCATTGAGCAGCATGTGCAAATGATCTGTGATTCATTTTTCATGGAGAAAATAAGGAATGCCTAATTAAATTTTTGCTACTTATCATTATATTTGCTACTTTAATTTGGGCTTGATCATGTATTTTATGAGCCATGGGTCAGGAGAGTAGGTGTACTAATATTATGGTTTCTGTCTTGCCAAACAATGTTTAAAGGAGTTCTTCTAGTTTCTTTACTTAAATTCTTCTACCTCCATAATAAGGAACAATTTTAAGCAAGAGTCCATTAATTAAAATAGTGTCACAAAATTATTCTTCATTGCAGTATTTTAAGTTTAACCTAAACTATTTGCCCCATGCTATTTTTATATTTCAGTCAGCCAGGTTTTACCAACAATTGTTTCTAGAATTTAATGTGGAAAAGTGCTTTTTCCTATACTTCCAGAAAGTTATTGCACATAAGGAGCATATTTAATCTGTCTCAAGGATTTTAATTAATGGCAAGGAATAACCTATATGAAAGGTTTTTTAATTGGAAATGCATTAATTTTTGAATAGGTTTATGAATGCTTAGGTATTTTACCTAAAAAAAATGAATTATTGTTGTGCTATGAGAATTAAGCTTAGCCAGCAGCACTAGAGCACTGTTTGATATTACTTCAGGTCAGGAGGTTTTTGTTATTTATAAAACTAGCCTATGATGTTGTCCAATTACTGAATTACATTGCTAGAGTTGTTAGAGATCCCCATCCCTCTTGCTCAGTGTAGATCTCTTATGACAGTAACATTAAATTTTTCCATGCTATACTATTATACATCAATGAAGGGCAGAACTAATAGGATCATCTCACTTGCAGAAAGTCATTGAAGTTTTGTTGTCTTATGCCATCATCATTCTGGTTTATTTTGAATATAAGTGGAAGATTTTAATTTGAGGAACCATATGTGGATAAAATGCTGTCATGTGTTCAGATTATTTCTGTGTAGTCCCAAACAGTTAAGTGTATTCTACCTATCCATCGATGTCTAACTATATCAATCTATAAAACCATCTAGAAAGTAGACTGGCCATCATGTTTGTAGGTAAATCCTTTACAGGAGTCAGATCATTCTTGGTGTTATTTGAGCATTTTTTAAGTGATGAAGTACTATGGTGTGTTTCTATTGGAGTTCTATGCTCTTGGTATTCATCTAGCTTGTCCATAGTTTTTCTTTCTGAAAAAAGCAAGCATTGGCTGAAGTTAGCCTAGAGGGTGATTTTTCTCCTTTTCTTTCAATACATAAAAAGGAACAAACCCTAGTGTAAAACTTGAAATTGATCAACCAGGTCTACTTACAAACTCCTTCCCTCTCCTTTCCCTGGGAAAAGACATTTTCCACATGCTACTAATTGAAGATGGTTGACATACAAACAGACACAAATATAATATGATGCTGATAAATTATTTAACTTATGATAAACAGGTAAGTAAAAGATTCATAATATTTCTAAATTAAAAGCACAAGTAACAGAGAGCCTGAATTCTACACTTTCTTGCCACTGGAAGGGGCTTTTTTATCCTCTCCTTTTCCTTATCTTTACAATGTTAGACATCATTTTAAAGCTGTGCAGCATAACTTACTAAAATTTCTTAACATTGCTTTTTTGAGTCCAAAAATATCTATTTTATAAAAAATTGCAACTAGAAAAATGAGGACCTGGGGGTATGCATGCTAATAGTGCAGGAATTGTTAAGCAGAGGAAAAATAAGAAAAATTGGCAGCCATTTCAAGTCCTGGTTTTGAAATGCCAAAGAGCAACTATGTCTGTTCAGTCTTCCCAGTGTGAACAGAGAAAGTTTTGTTAGGCTTAACCCCTTTAGAGTAGGAAGAAGAGAAAATTGAATGTCCTAATTTAGAAACTCCAGTTTCAAACCTGATCTTTAGATTTGACAGCTATACTTTGTTCAAGAGCCAATTTCCGTTCTGTTTTGTACCCTGGTGTGTTGTGCCACCCTAGCACTTTTCCTTACATTTTAACTCACTTTTCAGACTAGTTTGATTTTGTTTATGTGGTGTAGGTAAAAACAGATTCTTAGCAAAAAGAAGGGAAAAAAGCATCCTTTAATTGTAAAATGAGTACATGGAAACTAGGCTTTGGTTAGTAGTGGGATATATAGAACCAGAAACCTAACATTGTTTAGAAGTCATCTAAATTCCTTGTTGTCTTATACACCTTATTATCAAAATATTTTAAATCTATTTTTGATCATTTGTGATGCGTGTCTATTCTGAACACCATACAAATTAAAAAAGAAAGCCCTCATTACATTTATATAAATGTCAGTGTCCAGATGTAATGACTTTTTCTTCATGCCATTGATGATGCCTCTGGTCCCTGTAATCCTGTCTCAGGAGATGAGGTTTTACCAGTCTGTTCTGATTTCTAGCAGTTTAGTTATAAGATCCTTTACAGTGAGCATTTAAACTATATTTCAATCAGAAAAGGTGGTTCACCCCATTTAAACAAACAAATAAATTTGCAACCAACATTATATATCTTTTTGGAACACCACGTACTTCCACTGGTACTAATAACTAGACAAAATTTTGGCAGATCTCATGCTCTGACAACAGATTTCTGCTGCATGATCTATTGGTGTGCTTTCCAACAATACTATTGGGAAACAATGCTAGTCTTAAAAATCTTAAATTACAGGACAGGTTTTGCCATGTTGAATATACTTTCTGTTTTAAAAACAATAAAAATCTGACTTCTGGAGTGTCTCTTCGGAGTATTCCTAACTACCACACTTTAGTGATAACTCCTCTCTCAGCCTTTCAGCAGGGACTTTTCTTCTTACTCTAGTCTTTAACTACAAATTATAACTCCTTAGGGTACTAATGTAATGATATTTGAAATGTTCCAATTTTGGCACTTAGTAATAGAAGAAAAAAGGTTGTGAAATCCTTTAAGATAACTATGTAATCAGTCTATTTAGAAAATATAAAACATTGGTGGGACTGAGATTTACTTTTCATTATTATAAATGTCACAGCTAGAGTTGTCTCAGAAACATACATGCTGCTCACAGCTCTCTCTTAAACAAAATTTCAGAAATTATTCTTTGCAGGAGAAGGTAAGATAAGGAAGGTAGATAAAAGATTTGTCTGAAATGGTGAAATAAAAAAAGGTAGATTTAAAAAATCTGTTTTATTTTAGCATTACATGACTTTCATCAGAGTAGAGGCTAACTCTAAAGGCTAGTGAGCAGTTGTGATCAAGAGGAATTTGAGAAAAAATTGAGGACTCTTCCTTTATGAGCTCCCAAACTGTTTTGTGTCTATGGCTCTTTTCACATTGTTTCATTTTATATGTTATTTCTTGAGACATTTATTCAGAAGGAATCTGGTCAAGTGTCACTCTCTTCCATCCAAGTGTCACTCTTCTTCCATCCCTTTGGTATTTGGAAGGTTTATAAGGGGGAAGAGGAGGCTTAGGGAAACAATGAACAGTTATTCTAAAGCAATTCTTTTTCTACAAAAAAATCTGACTGCCAAAGTCTTAAATTTCAGCAGGGAAAAAAGGTTGCATATTTGGGTAACAAAACCAAACAAGCCACTAACAAAAATATGATGTATTCACAAGGATCTACTCTATACAGTTGTCTCATTGAGAACAGAAAGGATTATGAAAGAAGCAAATGTTTTTGGAAGTTTCCACATGAACTGAATGATAGTGAATAGAACTGGATATCGTCTTTTAAGGAGACCTGTATCAATGTAAATTTTCTGCAACATCATGCCAACATACCCAAATTTCAGACAACAAAACGCTGAAAAAAATCAGAGGTATAGATATGGAGGGTTTTCACCTTGCAAAAAAGTAAACCCAGACTTGCAATATGTGGTGCAGAGGAATTTATGTTCTAATTGTAGATCTGATATGTAATGTTAGAATTGGAGCATCTCATAATTAAACAAATGAACATGAGGAAACATATGTAGACAGATAGTGTTTTTCTGTTAGCCTTGAGAGCAAATGATGCTTTAGCAGAACTTCACAGAAAGTAAACAAAGTTTGTGTGAAATAAGGGGTGATAGAAACCTGGCAGAAGACTTTACTGCTGGGGTCATAGGAATTGCTGTAGTGCATTTTGCTCAGGCAGTAAAGTGAAATCTAACCTTTGTGGAACTTAAATCCAGGACAAGTTAAATGCAAATCAA